AATTGAAGTGGTCCTATTCGTGATTGAATTTATCAGAATTGAGGGGCTGTACATGTAAAATTTTGAATGCCACGAGGGCTTGGAATTTTTGTATGGGTCTCTTGGCTGTGCAGTTTGGAATCATTCAAATGCCTAAGATTACCACAGGATGGAATTTATTGCTACAGGGTTGGAGGCTACATACGAATGGTCGTGTACGACAACTGACAGATGTAACAATGCCTCTATTAGGTTTGTCAACCGTACGTTTTACTACTATAAATTCTAGCTCCGTTGAATTCAAGAGTTTTTCAAAAATTAATTTTTCAAATACATTGCTATGTTTGGATTGGTTATTTTTTTAAAAATAAGTTTTTCAAATATAATGTTATGGTAATATACAATAATTTAAAAAACATCTCAATCATATAATATTTCAAATATTTCAAAAAATTTTATAATAAAATTTTTTTTATATACACTGCTATAGTAAAATTTTTCAAAAACACTCTCAAAACGGAACCATACAAGATGTAAAGTAATAGCGGCATAATTTTTTCGTCTCCTTCCTGCTTCTTAAATCTTGCTTTTTTGTCATTAAAAAAAAATCATTTATAGATTTTGTATATGGTGTAAAAAATGATGTATGAAAATGTGAATTAAATTTTAGAATTTGAGCTAGTTTTGAGAGTTAACCTTCGGAAATGGATGGCAACAATTCTTGCCCTCTTTTTGTTGCAAGGGTGTGGTTTTGGCAATGTAGCCAGTAGAATGGGTTAATAGAAAGTATCTGCTTGTGTCATGTTGATTAATTGAGTCCAAGGTTTGATGTTTTGAATGGACCAGCTGGGAGCTGTTTATTTTCTTGGTCTTAAGTCTTGAATGGACTAAGCACTTTGGTTAATGGAAGTATTTTTGGGGAATCCACTAATATGCTGCCTTACTAACTAAAATTGCATAATTACCCTTTAAAAATCAGATATAAGTTTCTATTCGTTTTGGGCTATTCTCCGGCCGGACAGCACATTAAATAATAAGACACATGTAAGACATTGCCGGAATTAAAATAAAAATATAAAAAAAAACTTGATTCATATGAATTGATTGTTGTGTTATGCAAATGATTTTTAAACAGTCGAAATGGTAGAAAAGGGAAGACAATTAAAGTATTCAGCTTGACAAATTAAGTAAATGGAAATTTGGTCACTAGTCAAGATGGCTGGCATGTGTTCAAAAAGTCAATGTTTGACTTGCGGTATGTAATATTATTTTCTATAGCGAATGAGAAATTTCGTATAGTCGTGTGTGTATGTGTCTATATGTGTGTGTATATATATAATAAATGATAAAGTTTATTCATATACCAATTATAAAATTAAAAATAAATATCTGCTACAATATTTAAATGTTTTCCTATAAATATTGCATGAAAAAAATATAAGATTATCCACCAGATAAGCTCTTATTTTAAGTACATAAACGTGAAATATTTTGTATTTTTCGAAGTTTGGAGAAGGAAAAAAAAAAAAGAAATGTTATAAAGTGGAAAAATGTGTTGAGAATGGTCAGCAGCGTCAGCCCACGCAAGTAGTAATATTAAACAAAATTTTTTCGTGTCCACTGGTTTACTGTGGCTTAATTATTAAATGTTTGTCACTTCAATTTCAGAATATGATGTCGAAGACTTTCTCGTTTAGACAAGAGAGTTTAAAATAATTGTTGAAGTTGAAAATATATAAATATGTGTCCTTAAGCTCAGGCTTGAGTGATGATGTCATGGCGTCCGATTATATTTTCATTTTCACACCCCATGTACTGTTTCTTTTCCATGGTCAGTTATGTGATGCTAAGTTTTGAATATAGGTGGCAAATTAACCCACTTAACTAAATTTATTCATACCCGTCCATGAATAGATGGGTATCTTAAATTTTTGTATATGGGTATAAATGGGTTACCCAATAATACTCATTTAATAAATAGGTATTATTAGGTAACCCATCAAACCTAATTAACCCATTTAGAATTGTCTTCCCCCAAACCTCTTCTCTTCCCCCACCCATTTTTTTTTTCAAATTTTGATTTTGTCATGATGTTAACTACTTTTGTTTCATTATTATTATTATTTGTTGGTTTTATCTTATTATTTTACTTTCTCTTAGTTTGTTAACTTGCTCATTTTTCAGCATTACCAATTTATGATAAGTTTTAGCTTTCTTATCTTTCTAAAATGAAATTTTAAATTTATATATGAAAAAAATGTTAGGGGTTCAAAATTTTTGAATTAAGTTTTTATATTAACTTTTATAGTATTTAGTTCAAATTTTTATATTCTTTTTGTTTAATTATTAAATAATATGTAGTTTTGCGACATAGAGTACAAATGGAAAAAAAATTGGTAATTAGGCTTATTGAGTATTATAAGTAAATATTTAAAACTAATGATGGGTACAAAGGATGGTATAAATTGATAACTTAGTTTGCAAAAATGAATTTAAATGAATTTTTAAAAGTTAAAATAAATGAGTTATAAATGGATAATTGGGTTAGCCAGTTCATTTTTTGACTTACCTATTTATACTCATCTAATTAAATGGGTATAAATGAGTTGACTCACTTATACCTCTTACCATTTACCTAACCCAAATCTGCCCAAATTACCCATTTTGATACCTCTAAAAAACCCTTATCGTGAGAGTCAAAATAGATTGTTCCAAAAACTCCTGATTGAGAGTACCCAAAAATCCCTAAATACCCAATACCTTGAGAACCCAAAATCTAGGACTGAAAATCACTTGTGACCTATTTTCCATCAAAATTCATTATTTCCATGATCATAATAAATCATCAAACTAGATGGTAAATCTTTCGAATGGGATAAAAAAAGTTGTGGAAGAAGAGGTAAATCTAGATGGTAAATCTTTAGTCAAGAAATGCCCGATTAATTGTTGGGGATATATACTCAAACTAACACTCAATGAGGCAGGTAAAGTTTTGAAAAAGCAGAACAGACAGACAAAAAGAGGAAATTTTTTACTCAATTTCTACAGCCTATCTGTCAAATAAACTTAAATACAGCAATTGTCAGCCACTAATTGAGGCAATGTCATTTTCTGATGGAAAGTCCTATCATATCATATCACACAATATTTTATCTTTTATTATGACCAATAATTTTGCTAAGTTGTTTAGGTAAGTTTTACTCGGACTCGTTTTACATTGGTCACATCAATAACTCTTTATTTATGTAATTTTCACAATTTAACAACCAGTTGATTCTCCATTGTAATAATCAATCAATCAGCTCATTGGTTTAGTAGAATAGATTTAATTTTTTGTCTTTAACACGTGATCGAAATAGCACCATGGGCAACGCGGAATCATTATTCAATTTTTATTTCTTTATGCTTACACTACTTTTAATTTGTTATGAATTTTTATCATAAACGACTTTTTCATTTGCTTTCAATTTTTTTATTGAACACCCGTTAAACAGACCCTTTTATTTTCTTTGTAGAATTCTTCTCAAAAGCTACTACTTAATTTATTGTCTTTTTCCCCCCCTCAAAAATCAATCTCCAAATTTCTTTTCTTTTTTGGTAATATCAAACATCAATCTCCAACTTTCTTTTCAAATTTTTTCCCTGAAAAGTCAACCTTCAAGTTTCCTGCTCTAATCATGCTTTGTAACGTTTCGGTAATTTAGAAATCATCTCTCCTACAGTTAAGGTTATCTATATGAAGTTTCTCTTGCTTCACGGCTTATAAACTTCTGCTGCTATCTCAACTTTCCTAGTATACGCAGAAAACTTGTATAGATTAGTATCGGGAGAATGCTATTTTTCCTTAACAAATAAGCATTTCTCTTTACTGGCGCAAAAAAAAAAAATTAAAACCATATATTCTCAGAAAAAAAAAGAAAAGAAATTTACCGTGTCTTAATTGAAAAAAGAAAATTAACATAAAAAAAAATCTTACTATGTCTATTGAGGATGCTCACCTCGGCAACCCCCGCTTGTCCGAGGTGAACTCACCTCGTCCCTCATGTAAGCTCATCCGTGCCCTTGGGCATACCCCATAAGCTCGGCCACATCCCCAGTCTACCGTGTAGGTGACCTCGGCCACTCCACCTCAGCTGCACGCTGATGATGCCAAGACACCTGACATCACCCGGGATCAGTGCTTTATCTGAAAAGCACTGTTGTACTTAATGACTACTACAAAGGACTCCGCGTCACCCTGTCCAGGCGGCTACAGTGTCAGGGTCAGGCCATCTGACAGGGAGCAGAGCCGTAATGGCAGGGCATGGGTCCCACCGGCATAAGACCTCCATCCTACCCTCCACTCTCGCTCTATAAATATCCCACACACTCCCAACAAGTAAGCATACTGTTCATTTGACAATACAATTGCTTTCCTCTCGTTCTCATACTAACTTGATCGTCGGAGTGATCCCAGGGGAGAACCCCGCCATTCACTTCGGACACGAGGATACCCCTCACTTCATCTCAGAGGAGCCTGATTCTGGTCGGTTCAACTACCCGCCAAAAATCACCTCTTCAATTGGCGCCGTCTGTGGGAACGAGACTATTGCTAAAATGAGATCCACGCGCTCCAGAAGCGGAAGAGTTCCCTGGAGCTGGGCAGACGTCCGGAGCCCAAGCAAGATCGCATTTCTGAAGAACAAGGGTCCCTAAGGACCCAGCACCACAACGAAGACGCCATCGCCAAGATGGCCGCAGTTCATATCAGACAACCCCAACATTTTTGAGGAGCTAGGAAGATACCTCAAGAGACAGGGGAAAGAAAAAGCAGAATCTTCTAAGAGGAGACCGACGAAGTCTCCTGAAGTGCCCTCAGGCGAGGACTCCGATGAGGGGCGTCTCTCTCGGAGTACCTCTAGGCGCGCCCCTCCAAGGCGACCTCTAAAATTGCCTCCATCTCCAAGGCGTTTTCCCGGGGACTGTTAGGGAAAAAAGCCGAGGACCCACCTCGGCGCCCCGGAGGCCTAGCTGCTGACTACATGAGGGCTCCGCCCTTCACAGATGACATCAACGGGGAGATGGTGCCCCCAAACTTTAAGCTTCCAAACTTGCACACCTATGACGGCCGAGGTGACCCCGAGGATCACCTCCGCGCCTTCATCTCCGCATTCCGACTCTACTGCGTCCCCGACGCCGTGATCTGTCGGGCTTTCCCATCTTCTTGCATGGGACTGCCCGAAAGTGGTTCTGGAGTTTAGAACCGGGGTGCATTTCCTCCCTGGATGAACTGATAGACCGGTTCATCCATCGCTTTGTGTCGTCTCGACAATAACAAAGACCTCAGCTTACCTCTTGAACCTGCAACAGGGTCAGGCGAGTCACTTCGCTCATACGCCCAAAGGTTCAACGAGGAAAATGTACAGATACTGATCAGAACGAGCAGGTAACTATCGCTGCCTTCACCAATGGGTTAGTGGCAGGGATCTTCAACACCGAAATCCATCGGCAATACCCCCATACACTTCGGGAACTCTGGGAAAGAGTGGACCAGGGAATCCGAAATGAAGATGTAAATCGCATGAAACGAGAAGCCCAAGCATCTCGTACGGGGCAAATCCCCGGAGGAAGAAAGACACAGGCCGAGGTGAACAAGGCCCAAGTGGCACTTCAAACCAACTCCGAGACCGCCGGAGTGTCTTCGATCGAATCGTAAAAGGCAGGTCGTCCACCTCGGACGCCGAGCTGACACCCCTCAATTCGAGCCGGACCCATGTCCTGGCTGTGATGAGGCAGAATCACCTCGGCCGCAACCCTCCCGAAATTCCGGGGAGGAGAGATAAGAGGAACTCAAACCTCTATTGTGCCTATCATCGGGATGTTGGGCACGAGACCGAAGACTGTAATGATCTGAAGCGAGAGATCGAGAATTTGATCCGGCAAGGATACCTGAAGCAATTCGTCCGCAAGGATGGAGGCTTCAACCGAAGCGTCTCCCACCGGGAGAACCGGGGCCCCCGCCGAGACGACCGACGGGACACGAACATGCATTGCCGGGTCCCGAAGACCGTAGGGAGGACAAGCAGCCTCCACACGATGGATCACCGGGCTACGGCCCCAACATCGCTGGGGTGATCAACACCATCGCGGGAGGACTAACGGGGGAGACAGCCAGAACTCCGGAAGCGGACCTACCGCCAGGCCGAGATGGAGGTGGCCGAGCCGAGCTCTCGGCTGTCCGAGGTCATCACCTATGGCCCCGCTGACCCCGTCCCTGCGGCCTCCAGCAATCACGAGGCCCTTGTGATTGAAGTCCTCACCAACAACTACGTAGTCAAAAAGGTCTATGTTGACCCCGGAAGCTCGGTAGACGTCTTGTACTACCGAACTTTTGAGAGTTTGAAGCTGACCCGGGAGCAACTCACTCCGGTTAGAACTCCCCTTGTCGGTTTCGGGGGACACGTCGTCCACCCGGAGGGCATGGTGACCCTGATGGTAACTATCGGGCGTCATCCACGCTGCCGAACTGTGCTTGTCAGTTTTACGGTGGTCAAAGCAGACTCCCCCTACAACATGCTGATAGGTCGGCCCACGCTCAACGCCTTGAGAGCCGTATACTCCACCTACCACCTGAGCTTTAAATTCCCAACACCTGCGGGGGTGGCTGAGGTGAGCAGCGACGTGGGCGCCGCCCGGGAATGCTACCTCGCCACATTCAAGCAGCAGTCACACCCCGGCCCTCACCGAGGTCAGAAGAAAAGAGGCCAGCGTCCTCTCATAGACTGCATCGACCCTCAGAAGGCAGGAGAGCCCAACAGGCTTGAGCCCGGGGATGAGGTGGAACTAGTGGTCTTGGATGAAGCGAAACCTGACCAAGTAATCCAAATAGGGGCCGGACTCCCCTCACCCCTGAAAGAAGAAATGATCTCCCTGATCAAGGACCACCGAGACGTCTTCGCGTGGTCCGCAGATGAAGTGGCGGAGTGCCACCCGAGCTCATGACTCACCAACTCAACGTTAACCCACAGGCCCGACCTGTGCGGCAGAAACGAAGGCACTTCGACCCCGAACGTAGCAAGGCCATATCGGATGAGGTCGACAAGCTCTTGCCGGCCAAGATGATCCACGAGGTCCAATATCCTACCTGGCTGTCCAACCCAGTCATGGTCAAAAAGGACACCGTGGATGGAGAATGTGTGTAGACTTCACCGACCTCAACAAGGCCTGCCCCAAAGATTGCTATCCTCTGCCGAGGATAGACGCCCTCGTCGACTCGGCGATGGGGTATGTAGTCCTCTGCTTCCTAGATGCCTTCAAAGGGTATCATCAAATAGGAATGAGTGAGGAGGACCAAGAGAAAACGGCGTTCTACACCGACCAGGTACTTATTGTTACACTACCATGCCCTTCGGCTAAAGAACGCCGGGGCGACCTACCAAAGGCTGATCAACCGACTCTTCAAGAATCAGATCGGCCGCAATGTGGAGGCCTATGTGGATGACATCCTCGTCAAAAGTCTCGCCACTTCATCCTTTCTGTCAGACGTGAGGGAAGTCTTTGGTGTCTGAGAGACTCGAGGATGAATGAATCCCAAGAAGTGCGTCTTCGGCGTCACCTCGGGAAAATTCTTGGGGTATCTGGTTTCCCACCGGGGAATCGAGGCCAACCCCGACAAGGTCAAGGCCATTCAGGACATGTCCCCACCTCGGAACATCCGAGAAGTCCAACGGCTGAATGGACGCCTGGCCGCGCTGAATCGCTTCCTGTCCCAATCAGCTGAGAAAGCTCTGCCCTTCTTTAAGGTGCTCAAGGCTGATCAGTTTGCCTGGACGGAAGAGTGCCAGGCTGCTTTCGACAAGCTGAAGCAATACCTCCATCACCTACCCACTCTCGCTTCACCTCGGCCCGAGGAGAAGCTCTACCTCTACCTCTCCGCAGCCGACGAGGCTGTCAGCGCTGTTCTTATCCGGGATGAGGGCACCCAAGTGCCCGTCTACTACGTCAGCCGAGCTCTCCGCGGGCCGGAGACTCGATACACTCAGGTGGAAAAACTGGTGCTGGGGCTAGTCCACGCAGCTCGGCGATTGAAGCCCTACTTCCTTGCTCACCCATATCCGTCAGGACCGACCAGCCACTCCGACAGATACTGGTTCGACCCGAGGCCAGGGCCGTCGAGTTAGGGGAGTACGACCTGTCGTATGAGCCGCGCACCGCCATAAAAGCTCAAGCCTTAGCCGACTTCTTGGCCGAGCTCACCTTCACGGAAGGTCCAGAGTCCACCTCCGCCAGTGCCGAGGTCCCCACCCTTCCCCGTGACGCTGTACGTAGACGGGTCCTCTAATGGGGATGGCAGCGGAGCTGGACTGCTCCTGGAAGGACCTCAGGGAGAAGTGTGCTCTTACGCCCTCCGCTTTGGCTTCCCAGCCACCAATAATGAAGCCGAGTACGAGGCCTTAATTGCTGGACTCCAGCTGGCTCGCAGGCTCGGCGCCCAGCAAATCCACGTCCGCAGTGACTCCCAACTCGTTGTACGCCAAGTTTTGGTGAATACGAGGCTAAGGATGAGACCATGCAACGGTACCTCTCCAAAGTTCACCAACTCACCGCGTATTTCGAGTCTTTCGAAATCCAAAGAATACCCGGTCCCAGAATAAGCGAGCCGACGCCTTATCCCGGCTGGCTTCCACATCATTCTCTGATCTCAACAAAACAGTCTTAGTAGAAGTCCTGAGTGAACCCGGATACGTGGAAGAGGTGGCCTGCCCCGTGCACTCTGAAGAAACCTGGATGACCCCGTTCATCCTTTTCTTGGGTCAAGGAGCCCTCCCCGAAGACCGAGCCGAGGCGAGAAAAATACAACGCAAGGCGGCTCGGTACGCTCTCCGCGATGGAGAGCTGTACAAACGCTCCTACCTCGGCCCATGGCTGAGGTGTGTCACTCCCGAACAGGACGCCACGTCCTCCACGAGATCCACGAAGGCTTGTGTGGAGCTCACGTCGGCCACAGAATGCTAGCCAAGAAGGCTTTGCTTCTTGGATATTTCTGGCCTCAGTTCGGCAGACGCCCAGGACCTCGTCCTCGGCTGCCCCTCCTGCCAAGTCCACGCACCCGAGAATCACCAGCCCGCAAACTTCATGGTTCCCATCACTTCACCATGGCCGTTTGAGCAATGGGGACAGACATCATAGGTCCTTTCCCCAGATCCGTCGGGGGTTATACCTTCCTGGTAACCGCTGTGGATTACTTCACCAAGTGGGTTGAGGCCGAGCCTCTGAGGACCATCACCGGGCTGGCAATTCAAAAATTCTTTTGGAAATGCATCGTCTGCCGCTTCGGCATACCTCAGGTCATCATCTCGGATAATGGAAGACAATTTGCCGAGAACCCCTTTAAAACTTGGTGCACAAACCTTGGCATCAAACAACATTTCACTTCGGTAGGCCACCCCCAGGCCAACGGTCAAGCAGAAAACTTCAACCGAACTCTCTTGCATGGCCTCAAGACCCGACTACACCAAGCTGGAACATCTTGGGTCGAAGAACTCCCCAGTGTCCTGTGGTCCTATCGGACCACGCCGAGGTCAGCCACGCAAGAGACCCCCTTCTCTTTGACCTACGGAGCCGAGGCTGTCATCCCTGCCGAGATCCTTACCCCCAGCCCTCGGCTAGCAGCCTATGCCGCCGAGGTGAACAACGAAGAGAGACAGCTGGATCTCGACCTCGTCGATGAACGAAGGGACCTCGCCTCAGCCTGGATAGCTTCCTACAAGAACACACTGGCACACTATTACAATGCCCGCGTCAGACATCGTAGATTCCAGCCTAGAAACTTGGTCCTTAGAAAGAACTCAGTCAGCCGAGCTGAACCACAAGGGAAATTATGCCCGAGATGGGAAGGCCCTTACCAAGTTGTGGAGTCTGACCTTAAGGGATATTGTAAACTGAGTTACCGAGATGGCTCGTTAGTGCCGAGGTCTTGGCACGCCGAGAACCTCAAATTGTATTACGCTTGAATTTTTAATCAAGTTATGACTTCGGATATTATGTTATTTCTCAACATCGGTGTTACGCTATTAAAAAATAAGGGGGACAAGAAAGGGACGAAGTCAAAGCGAGAAATTAAAGTGCTGAGATGAAAAGAAATAGGCTTTCATTCAACAGAAAAGAGCGTTACAAAAAATACAAGGCCGAGGTCGGAATGCTACTAAGCACTCTCACCTCGGCCACCCCTTTAAAGCCCACGAGCCTAGACCCCCGTCTCGGCTCCATTCCCCGTCTCGACTCCCTCCTGGGCATCTTCTCTCCGGCCTCTTCTCCGCCGGGGTGAATTTCTTCTCCATGCTCTTCGCCGATGTCCCCTCCGGCTTCGTCTTCCCCAGCTCCTTCACCCTCCTCGAACACTTCGTCGAGTTCGGACAGCCACTTGTTGAACTCGTTCTGGACTTCGGCCAAGTTCCTTCCGGCCTAGGCCCTCGGCCATCCGGTCGCACAACTCCTTGGAGTCCTCATTGTAGCTGGCATTGTCTTTCAACGACTCCAAGGCTTCGGAGGAGAGGTGGGCTGCGGCCGCGTCCACACCCGACGTGAAGCCGAACATGAAGTTTGGTGTGAGCAGTTGGCCGAGATCCTTGGTGAAGGCCTCAGACCTCCGAAATGCGTCCACTGCCGAGGCCCCAACACTGTTGAGGGCTTGCTCATGAGACTTCTTCGCCTCGTCCCCCCTCTTCTGCTCTTCTTCGAGGGCCGATCTGAGACTATTCATTGTAACCTCGGCCTCCTCACCCTTAGCTTCGGCCTCCTTAAGCTGTCTTTGAAGCTCGGCCTTCTCAGACTCGGACACCGCCAATTTCTTCTCCAGCTTGGAGATCTGATTTTGCAGCTTGCCGGTGTCCTGCTCCTCGACCAGAGCACAGTACCGGTGTGTCATCTCGGCCACAAAGGCTGAGGTGGAAGCTGTGCTCACCATGAGGCTTTGAACCATCTCGGCCGCGGACAGTTTCTTCATAAACTCCAAATCCCTTGGCAGGGGGGAGTGCATTATAGCTCTTGGGCAACCCGAGGTTGGCTGCACCTGTCGTTGACCGAAAGGTTCCAGTTCGGACACCAGTGCCCGCCGGGGTGTGTCTTCTCCTCCC